TCTCAAATAAATAAATAAAATCTTTAAAAAAAAAAAAAGAATTCTTAATGACTGTTTCATCTGTTCCACTGTTACTCTATAATTGTCCATACAGAACATACTTCCTCATTTCTCCTTTCATCTCACACCACAGGGAGCAATAGCAGGAGGTTTGGGATTTGAATCATGACTCTAGGACTCCCCAGCTGTGTGACTTTGGGTCAGTTACAGATCTCTCCACTCTATCGAGACCTCATCTGTCATATAGGAATAATAATGGCACGAACTTCATCTGGTTCTCAGGAAGATTAATGAGATAACGCACGTAAGATGTTGTGTGCAGTTTCTGGCATTTAGTAAAAAGTGCTTGATAAATATTAGATATTAACTCACTCTTCCTATTTCATATGCATTGTTTATGTTAATGAAAATGAAATTCTGAAGCTTTTATAAAAAAATATACCCATAATTCCACCACCACTTAGAGGAAATATACTGACAAGATCGTTGTGCTTTTTATCAGTATTTTGTCAAATGCACACTTATCATAACTACAACCACAGGTTAATTCAACCTGCACTTTAGTTGTTTAATTGGTATAAGTACTTCAATTTTCTATATTTAAAGGGCTACATAAGTGATCACTCCTCAGATAAGCTACACCCTAAGTCATTTTTTTTAAATTTTGTGGTATTTAGACTAATTAATGTATTCATCCAATTGAATCAATCCAATGAAATGCATTTAATTAAATGAGCCAATTAATGCATTTATTTGGTTATTTTAAGTTGAAATACCTAACTGAATATCTATTTCAGAGACATTTGAATAAAAAAACAGGAGAATAATAGACACCACACCTTGACAATAAGGGGCAGATTGGCTCCAGGTTCCCTCATGTGTGCAAAGAAGGAGTGCTTCTCCCACAAGCAGGTAGCCTTGGTCACATCTGTACAGGATTGACATTCCAGGAGAAAATCGAACTATATCTCCACTGGTATGATTCCCGTTGGGTATCTTAAGCGGAGGTTGACATCCTAAGGAAGCTTAGACACCAATAAAAAAGGATCTTTAATTTAACACAAAGGAACATATAGCCAACACTATCTGTGGGTGACAGCAATACTGAAAGAAGGTAGGGAACAAGGCAACTAATTGGTATCAAGAAATACTCATTCCACCTAAACCAAGTAGCACTGGACAGAAATTTGCATTGCCTACATATATCATATGAGATCTGAAGAAATGTCAAAAGTAGCATAATGAAACATCAATGGTCGTGGCCCACGGTTGTAATCTATCAGGTAATAGTATTTTCTTTTCCCTTTAAATAGCGAAGGGGCTATAGTTTAAGGGTCTTACACTCCAATGCCTTCTGGAACCAGGAAGTGAAGCCACCAGATATGACAAATCAGAGAGCATCTGTCCTAAAAATGGCAGCCACCACCTGGTTCAAGATACAGGTGTCTTTCAGGAAAGCAAAGGGGGTCCTCACTGTATTACACATTCACTGTTTATCTTGGGCTGTGCAGATGGGTTTCACTTAGGATGAGACTACTGTGCTAGCCAAAGAAAACCATTCTGGTGAGCTGAATTCAGTTCTTGGGGCACCGACTGGCAGCCTCTGTTGTAGATAGTTACTGACAGGAATAAAACTGCTGAATGATAACTATAATGACAAGAAAGACAATTTGATGGGTTTGAAGGGCAACATTCATCTCCACAAACCCAAAGTTCTCTTTCTGGCTGGTTTCACAGCCTTAAATATCAAATTATCAAGCAATATTATTGCCAAACACTTGCCCTCCCAAAAAGTATGTGTGTTTTTTTTAAGTTATAAATTAGTAAAAAGAATAAATTTTAGAGACTCCATCAGTTTGGCAGTTAACCATTATCTTCTCATGTACTTTTGCTCAGCACACCTAGAAAGGGAAGGGATAAAAAAAATCAGATGAGAAGACAAGGCAGGTATCTTGTAAAACAATGTGATTGCCGTCACTTTTACATGCTTTTCTGTAGTTTGAATGGTCAGTGCAATTTCAAAGCCCTTTTTCTTCATTCTGGGTAACACCCCATCCCTTATTCCTTAAAATATCTTACCCTTTTTGATACAAGTTGGTACACCTGGCACCCATTTGTTATTGGTATGACACCTAATCACGTGACTGCCGTTCATGATGAAGCCAGGATTGCAGGCGACATACACTGTGTCATTGTGGGAATATGAGGAACGAGTTTTGTTGAGCTTGTACCCATGTTTGACTTCTGGGCTAGGGCAGTGAATCACAGGTGGAGATTTTAAGCACTTTGGGGAAGGTCCAGTCCAAGATCCATGTCCTTCAGAATCACTTATGCATCGTATATTTTTCTCTCCCAGAAGAGAGAATCCTTGGTCACATTCATAAGAAACTTCATTTCCATATCGGAAGGGTCCTGCCATCACGCCCCTGGGCCTTCCATGGTCAATCATGGGTGGAGGCTGACAGTGAATTACTGCAGAAGAGATTTAGGAAATTCTGCTTCAGCTAGCACACCAAGGTGGACAGTCTTCAGTCAGGCACAAAGGAAACTAGGCAACTGCTCGTACTGCACGTAACCATACAAGAATTTAGATCTTTAGAACCCAGGTGATGCTTCCTTTAAAACAGCATTATTAAATTCTCTATGTGAGTAATACATACTCGTTCCAAAAAAATTCAGAAAACAAAGTATTATGAGAGGAATAAATATAGCTATGTTCCCATAAACTAGAAATAAAGGCCATATATATGGTTTTTTTCTTAAATCTTGAGCAGATATATAGCAAATACTCAGTTCCTACTTGACCACTTTTTTCCCCAATGCCAGCGCTGACCAAACACGGAAAGATTTGTCTTAGGTACAATGAGACAGAACACATAGACTATTGAGGTAGTTATAAGGCTAGTTCTTCAGTGGCCTTCCCTCTCTAACCCCTTACTACCCCAATGACAGTTTTTTTTTTTTCTAACTTACCTTTACAAAGTGGAATCTTTTGGAACCAAACCCTATTCTCAGCATCTTGACACTTCTGATAAGTATGTCCTGTCAACCGGTACCTAGAGAGAGATTGTAATGCATTTCCTCTTGCCAGTATCACATCTCTGCAACCTAGCTTCCTCAAACCACAGATACAGGGGCACTTCTAAATAAGAGCTTTGGCAGACAAGGAGCTAAAACTCTTGGCCCTCCAAGTAAGAAAACTACTTCAGACATAGAGTTTTCCACAGCAAAGTCATTTCCATGTCAAGTAAGGACTGAAAAGTCAGAGAGATGTTAGTTAGACCTTTGGAACCTCACATTCCCTGTGAGTGTGACAATGAGAGACCTCTAGAGGGAGTCACTAAGACAAGCTGAGGACAGAATTAATGCACAAAATGAGGTGGAGACCCCTTTTCAGAATGGACCATCTCATACTCACCCATCTTGACAGGATGTATTGACTGGTATCACATGTGAATGAATGGGAGGCTCTTGAAAATCTCTCACAGGTTGACATGGTGCTTCTAGAAGAGCAAAGTTTGAATTATTTATGCATGCCTGATATCACAGAGAAAAACAACTCTGCAACTGAAAGTACCTTCACACCGAGGGGGAGAAGGACTCCAATTTCCTGAAGGCATACAGTGAATGGATTTGTTTCCCACAAGCAAGTAGCCAGGGTCACAGGTGTAGTCTACAGTCATCCCAGAGACAAAGAGGACCCTATTTCCACCCGTATGCTGACCATGATGGAGCCCAAAAGGTGGCTGGCAGCCTGAAGAGAAAACTCCCCACATAAATACCAACAAGAAAAAAAGAAATATATACTCAAGAACATTAAGTATACAACATTTGACAGCAGACAATCTGAAACTTTTAAGCCAAAAATTATGAAGCTGTAATTACCAAATGTTTTCTGCTCTTTTGCAGGAACCAGGCACCTTTAAAAAGGTCCTCTCGAAAACCAAGAAACAGACTTTTAACTATAGAGAACAAACTGATGGTTGCCAGAGGAGAGGTGGGTGGGGGATGGGTGAAATCCGTGATGGGGTTTAAGAAGGGCACTTGTGATGAGCATTGGGTGTTGTATGGAAATGTTGAATCACTAAATTCTACACCTAAAACTAATATTACACTGTATGTTAACTAAGTGGAATTTAAATAAAAACTTGAAAAAAAATAAAAAGTTCCTCTCATTATCTACCCTGAATATATCCCAGATCCAAGGGGGCATTTACGTGAAGAACACATAAAAACACATAGGACATTCCATCACAGAATGAAGAAATGGGATAGTAATCTGTGCACCTTTGCCTTTTTCTACAACTCTAGTTTTGGGTTGGAGCTAATAAACAAGAATAAATAAGTAAATACCTCATTTTCCCCCATTGGGTCTTTACCTTTTTCACAAACTGGTATTTCAGGATCCCAGGTGCTATCGGCTTTGCAACGAATCTGATGGCTGCCCTTCAAAATAAATCCATGATTACACTTGAATGTCACACTGTCATTGTAGAAATATGGGGCATCCTTGCCAGATATCTTGTATCCATTTGCAACCTGGGCAGGTGGACACTGAACAGCAGGGAGGAAAAGTTTACAGACAGGGGCAGGCCCACTCCAGGTGCCCCTCTCTTGGTCATTGCTTATACAACGGATGGTGCTCTCCCCAATGAGGTTGAATTCCACTCCGCTCTCTGGTCCAGGGTTGCATGTGTAAGTGACCGTGGTTCCATATAGAATATCTCCTGAGGAACTCCCTGTGTGTTTCCCATTGTAGATGGCAGGAGGTGGTGGGCAGATGATTTCTGGAGAGATGAGAATTTACTGTAGAATTTTGCTCCAGTATTAGACACCAAAGAAGAGAAAATGAAGAGACACCAAAGAAGAGAAGACGAAGCTACACCAAAGAAGAGAAATGAAGACACCAAAGAAGAGAAATGAAGCTGGTTATGAACCTGTTGTTATCAGGTTTCCTGGAAGATATGGATGAATTTTGATGATAAGAGTTAACATCAAAGCTCCTTATGTATGTAAAACTCGATTTAAACAGATATCCTAGCAAAGATTTTTCTAATGGAAATCTTTGTTAAAAGTGAACATGTTCATCAGTATCATATTGTGAGGCAGTGAAGTCTAGTAGTAAATTGGTAGTTAAAATCATTGTTTTTTAAAGGAACCAATAAGTGAATAAAAGGCATGGGGGTGGGTAGAATTAAGCTTTTTTGAGTATCATCTTTGTGCTGAGGTGATAGGATAGGTTAGCCAAGAATCGCTGTCAATAGAGCATCTACTTTTGACAGGTGATTTTCTCATCTACAAAGTAGGGATAGTACCATTTAATTTTAATAACTTTGAAGTCTGGAGTCTCAGTTTAAGTTTCCAGATAAGAGGCTGGAATTTCCAAGGAGTTACGTAAAATTGCCCCAGCTCAAATGAAGCAATAGAAACAGATCCCACACCAATCCCCTCTCTCTCCACTAAACTATAGCGTTCCCCAAATTAAGGATGGTTGCTCATATACTCACTATCCTCATTATCCTTAAACTGTTAAATCACAAAAGAGAATCAGAAAGTGAATACATTTAAATTGATTGGCATGCTATGAAGTAGAAAGAGGTGACAGCAGAAAGACAGCAAAACTGTGCAACTAGAACTGTTGACAAAGTTAATCGAACAGAATCTAATATTAGGATTCCCATAACATGGCCTCAAACAGAAATCTCCCAGGAAATGGGTACATCTCACGCCGTTTCAGGTCCTCCATCATTTTCGCTACTCACCTTCACAAAGACGAGTCTCCATAAACCAAGGAATCGCACCTTGGCACTTCTGATAAACACTCCCCCCTAACCGATACCTAGGGACAAAGAGCCATGTCATTTTTCATCTTGTGACCACTAAGCTAAGCAAAGCTGTTGGCGCAAAGCAGATTCGCCACTTTTAGGACAAGAAATAATAGGGACCAATATGTAGACAGCATCGGCACCATCCATTCATCGCATAGGCAGTGTTTCCACGCACGCAACGATAGCGCAATCAACCCTTCTGCGAACAGGTGACAAGGAAGGCTCTTTGAGATAAACACAGATGACAGGGCTTGTAGTGTGTGCCCTGATAAACCAGACCTGGGTCAGGCTGAGACAGCCCTCGCTCACCCTTCGTCGCAAGAAGAGTTAACATCTGGTCTAACAAATTGATCCTGGGGTTTCTTAAAGACTTGCTCTTCTATAGGTTCACACTCCGCCACTAAGAAAAGAGACCTGGATGAGAAATCAGCTCAAGGCAACCTCAGAACCATAAAACATCTATATTCAAAGCCTGGCACCTTTGCATTCGGGGGCAGTGGGGGTCCACACCCCCTCAGAGGTACAACGTATGGATTCTTTCCCCACGAGCACATAGCCCGGGTCACAGCTGTACTTTATGGATGTTCCTGGGTCAAAGCGGACCATGTGTCCATCTTCCTTGTGCCCATTGAGAATTGTAGGAGGGGCTTGGCACCCTAAAGGAAAAGAAAAGTTTTCTTATATGAACAACAGAAAGAAACAAGCAAAGAACTTATTAATGTGTAGCTCAGTTTTGGGTACTTTTAGATCAGTGGTTCATCTTTTTTCATTTCTGCACTTCGGCTGCTGCAGACTTTGTTCAGTTCCTACTCGGGGCTCTAACTCTTCTCCTGTCTCTTCTTTTTTTAAGGAATGCTCTCCTATGTGTTTAACGGGATATATCCCTAGGGCAGGGGCTTTGCTTACTTCCCTTAAAAAAATTAGTATTGAAACAAACAACATTTTTTTTCCCTAAAGAATGAGGCAACTTAGTGATCCCTAATGCTTTTCCCCCAAGGATACTTCCACAAAATGAAATAACAGCGGGGGAGAGATGTTAAGAAAACCTATATAATTTATATTCACTATATGTAGTAGAATTGAGGGGACTAGAAACTGGAAAAGGCCCTGCTTAAATCCATAACCCCATCCTCTAACACTTCAAAAAAATGAATCAGTAACATATTGGAACACCCACCCTTTTCACAGACTGGTGCCGATGGCTCCCACATGCCTTGGGCATTACATCGGATTGCCTTGCTGCCCTTCAGGGTGAAGCCATATGAGCAAGCAAATACCACGGTGTCATTATAGGAATATTGCTCTTTCTGCCCAGATGATATTTGGCCTCTTAGGATCTGGGGAGGTGGACACTGAATGGCAGAACTAGAAAGTTCACAGCTTGGGGCAGGGTGACTCCAGATCCCAATCTTCTGACTATTGGTGATACAACGGATAGTCTTCTCCCCAGTAAGGATGTATCTCACTCCTTTCTCTGGGTCTGGGTCACAGGTGTAAGTAACTGTGCTTCCGTATGGAGAGTTCCCCGAAGAGCTGCCTGTGTGTCTTCCATTGAGAATAGAAGGAGGTGGCAGGCAAACAATTTCTAGAGAAATTAGAGAGAAATGACAAGATTGCTGTTGTACTGCAAACAAAGAATGCCTCGGATGTTCCTTGTACCACTGTCCCCTCTTAGGTTCAGGGACAGTGACATTTGAATCTGTAACATACCAATCAAGGCAGCTATAGCAATATAATTTTAAGTATGATTTAGGACTTTATTCCTGAGTATATCTACTGGGCTGACCCTTTGATTTCTTCTGCTGAATATACAATCCCCTTTCTGTGCCCGGCCTGGCTGGCAAGCTTATAGAGCTTTCAGAGAAAGAAGAGCCTAGGAACCCTGTTTCACTTGAGTAAGCAGAGAGGAAGGAGGCAGCTGAAGGATGCTTCAGTGAAGAACATACCCCTTCCAGATGTCTATGTGAGATCTCTGTATAGTAATGACTGAACCAAAAGCTTTTAGTTAAGCCACGAATGGAGCGTTCTGTTCAAGGACCAGGGAAGTAGCTGCAAACCACAGTTTTCTAACCTACCTTTGCATACTGGCATCCTGGTCCAAGAAGCCCGCTGTCCAGCAATTACACATTGACTGGAAGGTTGGCCTTGTAACCGATACCTAGAGACAGAGGGGGGGGTCGTTTGGGACTATTGAGCAGTGGGTGTTGAGAGCAACAGCCTCCACTTAAAATCCAAGACAAATTCACTTACCTGACGTGTACCAACCCCTTTCATAAGCATTCTCTCTCCCAGCCTCACTGTAGGCTCTCCCTGGATTCTCACAGAGGAACCCTCGGCAGGTGTCACTGGTCACACCATGCACACATAAAACGAAATGAATGAAATCTCCAAGGCCCTCCTAACACTCACCCTTCGTTACAGTCAAAGTTCACAGTCGCACCAACCCGAAGACTTGGAGGGCCCTTTATCTGTCCATTGAGAAACGGTCCTGGAGGTTCACACTGTGCTTCTAAGGAAATAAGCCAAAGATGAGCAAAGTGTGGCAAATAACAGGATAGCCCAAATTCTTTTTTTAATTAATTAATTAGTTAATTAATT